GAGGGGTCTGCGGCCCCAGCGGGGTCGCCAGTCCCCCGCACAGCTTGGGGGGCAGCCCCAGGCCCCGGGGCTCCTCATCAAGGTGCCAAGAGGAGCCTGGCTGTGGGTCGCCAGGCCCTGGCCGTGTTGTGTCACCATCTGATGGGTTTTGTGTTTTTTTTGGGGGGGCTGTTCCCCTCGGTTTGGGCCCAGTCTGGTCCTATCGCGGGCCGCTTCAGTATCCCTCCCAGGCACCGGGGATCTCCCATCTCTGCTGACACAGGGTCCACCGCATCAGCCTGGCCCTAAAGCGTCCCCATCACCCCTGCTCTCTGATCCCAGCGCCTCGTACAAGTAACTGCTGAAATCCCAAGGAGAAGACGCGCAGGAGCTGGCTAGGGGTCCCCTGGGATGGCAGGCAGGGCCGAGGGAACGTCGTCCGTCTGGAAATGTGATCTTCGGCAGCATCACGTGTCTGCAAAGCCAACCTGATGAGGGCGAGGAGTCCTCTGTGGCACTCGGAGCGAACGCGAATTGCCAGGTTGCAGAGAGAGGAGGGCTGACGTTTGGGTACAACCGAGCGCTGCGTCACCTTCCTCACCCTGATGGAGGAAGGCTGGCATAGCTTGGAAAAGGTGATGGTCTGTTGATCTTATTTTCAGGGCTGGTCAGCAAGCTGTGAAGGCAGAAGTGCTAGACCTGACTAGAAAAAAGTAATGATTGAACTGGTTCTGGGTCTACAGTCATAGTAAGTCAGTGTGGAGCTGCATTCCCTGACCATTTGGTGCTATGTTAACTTAAACCATGCTTAGGCTTTTGAAACTAATAGTTAAAACCTGCCCTTATTTCCTCCCATGCATCATCATCCCAGATTTTTAAGAGAAAAAAGGAGTGCAAAAGAGAGCCTGACTCTGGAAGCCAGCAGTGGGGATATTTGCTTCCAAGTGGGAGGCCAGGATGCAGGTACCTTAACACAAGGTTGTGCAATCACTCGGCAGTTGCTGGATAAATGAAGAAGCAGTTCCTGGAGGAAGAGAGCTTGCATGGCGAGTTGTCTTTGCTCTTGGGGATTGCTCTAACCTCTGCCTTTCCTGCATGACTTGTGCTGCAGCATCAGTGAGGGAGGAGGAATGAGCCCCTTTGAGATGAAGAAAGATTTGCATCTGGCTTCTTGCATTTGCTTGCAAGATGCTCGCAAGACACTCTAGGCCTGTGTGTCCTCCAGACCTTAAATCAAAAGTGAGCCATTTGACCCTGCTCAAAGGCTGCATTAGGTACCTAAACCACAGAAGGGATTTTGAGCAGCAAATCCTAGAAGTCCGACTGCAGATATCTAAGAAAAGCTGCTTTTTACACACAAGCTTCTCTTATGCTTTGCCTCTCATTCACTTCAGAAATTCCCCTGTTCCTGACAGCTCAGTTCCTGTGCCCCTCTCTTGGCCTGTTCACCTTTGTCCCTAAATTGGGGTAACACTGGTTATTTCTTTGGGTCTTGGTGTTGTCTAGAGGGAAAAAGTCCCTCTCAATGATGAGCCTTCCCATAACAAGGGAAAAGGTCCTGGAGCAGCATCACAGGAAAATGCAGTGACCGGACCGACAGTCCAGTGGGGAATAACAAAGGTGATTGGAAGAAGTTTGCTCAGGATTTATGAGGAAAGAGTAAAAGGAATGAGAACTCTTTAGAGATGCCTGTGGACAGACAGAAGACTTTAAACATGTGGAGAATGGCTGCAGAGAAGAGGAGATAAATTTTTCTGCTGGGCTCTGGAGGCAGAACAAGAAATAAAGGGCTTAAATTGCAGTGAAAGGGATGTAAAGCAGGCCAAGAATCCAGGCTTGTTCCCTCTCAGTGTAGTGCTCATAATGAATGAGAGTACTCTGCTTCAATGTGCCCCAAACTGATGTGCAAAAAATCTCTCTGTGCTCTGCTGACATGACCGAGATCCCCACTCCGGCTGTTTCATCCCACCATCTGCTAGGGCTGCTGGACGCTAACAGCCCAGGCAATTCCGTCCTCGGAGACAGGGTGACAATGGAGACAGGGTGACAATTGCATCATAGTGTTTCTACACTGCTTCTGGAGGACTCTCTATCGGTTGGCTACAGCTAAAGTGGATCGTTGGTTGATATATCCAGGCTTCTTTTGGCATTTCTTTTAAGTCTATCAGAGTGTTAGGATTGTGAGTCGAAGACATGGGCAGATACAGCCTGGGTTTTTTTGTTTGTCTTTTTATTATGACTTAACACATAACCCTGTATCACCAATTTACTGATGATGTGAGGTCATATGTACAGCAAGTGACTGAATGCAGGGATGTGTGAATTGGGAGGAAACAAAGTCTAGTGCATGGAAACAGTCTTGGTTTATTCCAAGTTTACTCTTGCTTTCTATTCCCCTACAGAGATAAGGTTTAGAGTCGTGGAGCCTGGCCTCTTTCTCCAGTTCAGTATCTCCTTTCCTCCCTCAAGTAATATTTGAACCTCTTAATCTCATTGCATAGCAGGGATTGAAGTCTCATGGACAATTAAGCTTTGAAAATATGTGAGAACTGGCAGGTGGGTAGAGGGCAGGGGCTCAGGCTAGTACCTGCCCGGTGAAAAATTCAAGGAGAAAGTGGCCTTTCCAGGTGCTGTTTGGTGGCGACCACGTGCCAGCTCTGCATTAACCAGAGCACTGCTGCTTCTGAGAAGTCTGGGGGTGACAGAAGAGATTTTGAAGGAGACTAGGCCTTCGGCTCAGCTATCCTGGAGACAGCTTGGTTATTTCTGTTCTCCAGTGCATCTCTCAGCTTGCGTTCTGCAAAACTGTGTCTAGACGCAGCCTTTAACTAGTTGTGACGGCATGTTGCGCGAGCAAGCCGCATGCGTGTGCGGCAGGGTGGGGATCAGCGGCATGCAGCTTCCCTGTTAAGTCTTTGGCCTCGGTTTCTGTCTTGCACCGGAAAAGTACTTGCTCAAATTCCTGTCTTCCGCTGCAAATAACAGTGAGCTTTCTGATTATCTGATAATAATGAGACGTCACAGCGTCCTCTGAGCCCACAGCTGACTCTGCTTCCCAGGAAATCCTCTCTTGCTCCCTTGTAAGCTTCTTAGGAAGAAAGCAGAGTCTGCGGCAGGCATGTCTGCTAGGAATGGGTGAGCAGCATGCGGGAGTGTTTGTTTAACGTCAGGCTGCTTATGGGCTGTATTGCCCTTGCAGGTAATTTCTCTTCCCTGAGAAAAAACACACACACAAGGTTGATTTGCTCAAAGGTGGTGTCATTTCTGCTACAAAGGTGGTGATAACTGCAGCGCCTGGGTCTCTCTGGGAGGACAAAGATGCTCAGCTAAGAGGGTCTCTTTTTCGAGGTCAGACACTGTTTTGTGGCTTTCGATACCTTGTGGACTTTGAAAACTTCAGTGCAAGGCATGTGTCATGTTAGCAAGCTCCCTGGCTTGCCTGACTATCACGTGGCAATGCCACGACCTTTTTAGGCTCCCATGATGAGCTGTTGTAGGCTCCTTCTTGAACATACAACCAACCTTTTGGCATCCAGCAAACGCAGCAGGGCAGAGAGCTAAAGCTTGCTGAGTAAACCGAAAGCAGGTCTGAGCTGATGTTCACATGATCTGGGGATGGGGTACAAGCAGAACCATGGACACTACGTTATGATTTGCAGACCCGGACCTGACCTCGGCTCTTCCCTCGTGCAGTGGAAATAAGGGCTATCTGAAATCCTGCTGCCTTCCTCCTGGGTGGACTCACCGTTTCACCTGACCGCTAACAAACACAGCAGCTGGCAGGGAGAGCACCCTGTCAAAACCACTTCCCCATGAGAAAGAGGGACATTCAGCTTCAGTATGGTTGTGTCGGTGCTTGATGTTGCTGTTGATCCTATACCCTGGTGGGATGTTATACAGCCCTGTGAGATGCCACCAATTTCCTCTTTCACTTCCTGACCCAATTCACCACATGCCCCATGACGGGGGGTGGCTGCTCGCTTCCTCTTTGGAAGTGTTTGAGGAAGGGATTGTTGCACATGTATCTGCAAGTACAGGTGAATAAGTGCCTGCAGGGAAGTGTTTAACAAAGGCAACGTGAGAACCTGGACAAATAAAGCAGTAAAGCCCCTCCAGGTTCATGCTCACTCTGGGATTATGAGCTGTTAGCCTCTTTCTGTTGGAGCCCAATGCAGTGTTTGTTTTCTGTGGCATTGCTCTTATGCTTGTCTCTCTTCTCCATGCCTGCAGGCAGTTTCCAGGATGTGGGAACATAGTGACATTCTCCCAGTTCCTATTTATTGCAGTGGAAGGCTTTATCTTCGAAGCCAACTTTGGGAGGAAGAGGCCAGCCATACCAATAAGGTACAGTTGATCTGAACGCTTTTACTAGGCACAAATAGACTGGCTATCTGTTATCACAAGAAGTGTTTAATAAAATGGTTTATCTGTTTATCCTGTCTAAATCCCATCCATTCTGCAGCATTTGTGAAGCCTCATTGAAAACCTGTCATGCCTGATAAAATATGAACTCCTCATTTATCGAGAATTCTTAGGAGGAAATTGCCATCAGATACATTCCTGTCCAAGAAACAGGGCAGTATTTTGCACAGTTAAGAGTTTGCTGTGTTTCGAGAGCTTGCTGTCTCTCTGCAGCTTGGTGCAGTGGGCGTGGGAGGGAGAGGTTTACTGGAAACCCGGCCAAATTCACTTTTGCATTTCCCCATCAGGGCTGATCTTGTCCTGGCAATTGCCTGGCACGTTCATGCTTTCCTCCCTGGCACTCAGTGGCTAAAGTGAAGGGGTTTTGTGGGGTTCCTTAGCACACTGCCTAGCCCGTGGCAAAACAGCACTGTGCTGAGTGCTCAGGACAGAGATCCTCATGACAGACAGTTGAGGGCAATTTTTGTACCACTCATGGCTGTGTCACAGTGAGGAACTTCATTTTGTGGAGGCTGTCTAGCTTAGATGGAGAATCATGGAGTTGTTCAGCCTGGATTTGAATAATTTCTCCTTCCACTCAGGGAAGTGATGCCTGCTGGCAGAAGTTGACTCCTCTCAAATCAAGCTTTGTCTTAGGGCACAGATCTTAAGAAGGGGGGTTCTGGAGGAAGTCTGTGCTAAAAGATTCCAGCTGGGCTGTCATCAGTTCCCCTTTGCTTCTGGGATTAGCACAAGCTGAGTCAGTGTGTGTCAGCCTGCTTCCCATTCTGAGGACTTCTCTACTACGTCCAAACCAGATTGATCTCTTTGTTAGTCCTTGTCACAGACCCAAGAGCTAAGTGGGCCCCTGCTCATCTCCAGACCTTTCTTTGTGCCACTTAATCTGTTCCCAAGGTGTGTCTCAGCATGCCAGGGAGGTACATGCACAGCCATCAGCTGGTTTTGTGTGTTTGTATTTCAGGTACTATTTCATCATGGTGGCCATGTTCTTCACTGTCAGTGTGGTGAATAACTATGCCCTGAACTTAAATATCGCCATGCCACTGCACATGATCTTCAGATCAGTGAGTACTGCCATGCCATCCTTTCCTTTCTCATGTGACATCTCTTTCCATCACCTCTGCAAGCACCGTCCCTAGTGCATGTCTTCTGCCACCCTCTCTTTCGCG